TCTGGGTGTGCAGGCGGGCCTTGTCGACAGCCTTACTGCCCTTGCCAGCTCCCTTGGTGAGCTCCTTGCTCTTGTTCTTGATCTCGGTGTGCAGGCGGTCGAAGATGGGGAGGACGGCGCCCTTGAGCTGCTTTGCGGTCTCGTAGTGTTGGTTGGAGATGCCCTGCCATGGTTAGTCTCAGACTCGGTATCTGATGTGGGAGACGCCGTACCTGGGTGTTGGACCTGATGTTCTCGAACATGCCCGCAATACCACCGAGCGACTGATCGAAGTGGTGGCCCTCCTTCAGGGGATCCTTGACCGTCTGTTCAACGTCAGCAGCTGTATCGCTATCGCATCGAGTCGACCAACCTTTAAGACGCGCTCATACTCCTTGCCGTGTGCGTGGTTCGTCTTCTCGGTAGCTGTGACATAATCCTCGAGGTAGGCGACGGCGTGCTTCCAAGCTTGCAATCGCTCCGCAAAGAGCTTCGTGACCTGGGACATGTTAGAAGCTTTCCCTTTCATCGATCTACAGATCACTCACCTCTGAGGTGTCCTCTCCTGGGATGGCATCGTCGTCGGCAGATCGGTTGGTGAGGCTGCGCGTGGGCATCTCACTCGTGGCAGAGGTGGGCGCAGACATATTGCAGGTGTGTCGTGATACTGAAGAAACAAGGTGCAGTCGTGGAACGTGTCTTCGCACGTGTAGGAGGTAACGTTGTTGTTGCTGTGAAGCTCGAAGACGCGGCTAGCGAGATTTGGTTGGTGAAGGCGGGGTTTGCGTTCTTCCGGAAATGAGCCCGTGTCGTATGCTGCACGAGGGACTTTTATAATAACAAAGATATCTGGTTCAGTAGGTAGCAGTAATGATTATTTTCCAGGGTAAAAATCAGGGTCCAGGGAGGGGTTTAGGTTTGATTCAAGCTCCGTGGGCGCATCTAGATCGACACTCACACATGCCGGAGAAGCAGGGTGCCATGAGGGTTTTGGCTGGCCCTGTGACGTCAACGCTCGAAGCTTTAGTCTAGATCCACGCGGGATCTACGCCAGGAAATGGGTTTGGACTGCTGCTGCGCCACGATCCTAGGGGTGATCGCGGGACAGATCCTGACCACATGGTTACATTCAAGGTCGTTGACGTATCGTGGCTTCATGCCATTGCGCCCGAGTGTGAGAGGGTTGTCAGGGTCTCCGCCCGACGCCATAGTACCCCCACATTAGCACCGAGGACCCTCATCAACCCGCTACTGACTAGCCTGGCGGCTGAGATCGAGGGCTTTAGATCTTCCAAGGTCATCAGCAGCCCCTGTCCGCTTGTTGCTCAGTACATGCGAGAAATTATTTGTCATGCAGTTGAAGTACGCGACGTTGGGGACATAGTTCCAGCTGAGCATGGCGAGCAAAATCATAATGTAACGGGAACACGTCACATTTGAACTTTACAAAGCTTGCAACTACGCATACAGCCAACTCTACATCTCACATTGTCGGCGCCCCATTGTGCTACACACTAAGTAGTCACCGTAACCCATCAGTACTCCATAGCATCTTCAAACAGGCCCCGCAACTGCTCCCTCTCAGCATCGATGTTCTGCATCTCCAAGCTCGGTGCTAGCATCAGCACTCTTGCTTGAGGAATCGTACCCTCAACCAGTTGATCGAGATGTTCCTTTCCGAAACCAAGTGCCTTCAGCCCACGCGGCTGATCACCAAGCTTAATCAAGAACTCCGCTAGTGCTTCGCCTAGCACCTCTCCTGCACTCTCTGCCTTGACATTCGAGATATCGACACCGAAGGCCTCTGCTGCAGCCAAATGCCGTTCGGGGTTTGATGCGCCGGTGAATCTGAACACTGCGGGCGCGGTTACCGCAACACTGACACCGTGAGGAATAATGGTGTGGTCGACATCGTACCCTGCGTGTTTGTAGCCAGGGTTCTGGCCTGAGATGGGATATGACATGCCGTGGCAGAGATGCACGCCAGCGTTGCCAAAGCCAACACCAGCGAGTGTTGCAGCCAGTAACATCTGAGACTGTGCCTCATGGTCATCGGGGTCTTTGACAGCACGCGGCAGGTACTTGACCGTATCCTTCAAAGCCTTGAGGGAGAAGATGTCGGAGATAGGGTTTGCACCTTGATACGCTGGGCGGTTGATGGGGTTGGTTGGACGCGGTGTACGCTCGTAGTACGGTATCGCGGTCCATGACTCGAGGGAATGGCACAGTACGTCGAGACCTGAAGAGGCGTGCACAGCCGATGGCATGGTACGTGTGTTGAGCGGGTCTACTATGCCCAGAGTGGGCTTCAGATTGCGATGAGCGATACCGGTCTTTGCGCGCTTAGAGACTAAATCAAAGATCGCTGTTCCAGTTGTCTCAGATCCTGTTCCTGCGGTTGTTGGTACGGCGATGAGTGGGAACAGCTTTGATGGAATAGGCATTCCCTTGCCTAGTGGGGCGTTGACGAAGTCTAGGAACTCTGCGTCTGGGAAGGTGGTGTATAGGTTCATCAGCTTGGCTGTGTCGATGACACTGCCACCACCAACCGCTAGATACGCATCCGGTTTCCATGGCTTCGCGAAGTTGATGGCTTCCATTATGCTGTGGTCCTTTGGCTCCACTCTGACCTTGTCGTATATCTCGTACTTTACTCCCTCCCTTTCCAAGCCTTCAATTACTTGTTTCATTGCATCTAGCTTCCTCACGTTGGGGTCTGTGACGACCATGACGCGCTTGCTGCCCATGTTCTTGAAGTCCATGCCAACTTCCTTTGTACACCCAGGCCCGAATCGTATGCTCGATGCTGCCATCTCGAAAGCATATTCCTTTTGCTGAGAGTGGTCGAGAGGCGTTGCGAGATGTCGTCGTGCTTGCTGTACAGTGGACGGCGATTGGTGGTAGTTGGGATTCGAATGGCAGGGGCATGACGGAGGATGCGTATATTGTACAGTGCGTAGGAGGTTCATTGCGCGAGCTGCGCGCGAGGGCGCGATGCGAATTGCTGTGGAGATCACCATGGTGACGGTGTCGTGAGACTGTTCCTACGTTACACAGCTGTCAAGAGCGATGCGGGGATTGTACGTGTTTCTGGAGAGATACAGAGTCGATTCCTTGAACGAAATGTCGCTCGAGTGATATTTAGGAAGCGCTGAACACGGTAAGGAGGAACGCAACCGCGTGTAAAGCGTGCCCAGGTGTGGAGAAGCTCCATGACGACCGTTATTATCCGCCATACATCGCACCAGAGCGCAACCTCGGATGATAGCTACTCCAATTGCTGCATTCGGTAAACCGAGAATGTGGGGTAGCTGAGGAATGCCGATTGCGGGTCTGGGTCGGAGGTATCGGACCTTTCCCCGTACTTCTCCAGTGTTCACCTCTCCACGATGTTTGCGAGCATAGGCATCAGGAACCAACGATGAAGACAGTGGTATCACCGCTTCGAGTGTACTTCCCCAGCTTTCGCGCACGCGATCGTGTGTATCGAGTGGTGGATTGGCCGCGCCAGCGCATACTGAAACTATTGCCAACGCTCCTTCACCACAACAGCCCACACACCGATCAGTCGCACCTTTTTCGGATTCATCTCCGGAACAAGTAGAGGCGGTGAAAACACATCGTCACTTACGTCGGATATTGGCCACTCAGTGACCATGCGGCACGGTCAAGCGCTCGTGGCGACGTCCTGAGGGTCAAGTACAACCAAGGCGGACGTCACTCACAGCCCTGGAAGACTGCGGAATACCGAAAATCGATCGTCGATTACCTACCTGGGTGTTGGTGTTGTTGCGCTCAGGAGACATCCCGAGGTCGTGAGCACGGGCTCTGAGCGCTTAGCCCCCAGCCTTCTCGCTGACAACCAATGATGTAACACATCTACCCGCCCGCCCTGAACACTGTTCGCTTGATCTCGCGATACCGATCTATACCACGCGACACCGGAACGCCGGTCCTGGGACTGCTGCAATGCGATGCTGAACGTGTTTTTGGGCAGGCTGAGGTTTAGTTACATATATCCAGCATCAACATGCGATTCCTTCACGCATGCGCGAACTGCGAGAGCCTTCGTCTGAAGAAAGATTGCGAGACCCTGGCTTAGTTGGTGTGCCTCGCTGGCGGTTAATGAATACATCCACAGCGCTTAAAATAGCCTGCTGGCTGACGGTTTCAAAACACTGCAGGAGCCAAGCTGCAAAGGGGTTGCCAGTTCGACACACTCGCGCCGGAGTCGACAAATGAGAACTGCAGATGCTGTTACCCGAGAATGAGCGTTGGCGGTAGTCTGCACAGACTCCTACGCCATCTCGTTGCTACAACGTGCGTCTGTTAGCCTAGCGTATCTTCCCTCGGAGAGAACCTGTGGCACGGTACCTTTAGTATCTGATCTTCGCCCTGCTGGTAAGGCTTCATCTTTTCGGCCCATTATACCACTTCTCCACTTTACATTCTCTTACCATCTCTTTCGTTTAGTCATTTCATTTGGGTTTATGCATACAAGCTAGCATTAGTGGATCCGAGGGCCTCTTGTCTCCCTTATCTCGTCACTTTCAATGAGTCTCCTGTTATACGTCCACAAGCCCGAAAGACGCCGATTCAGATCAAGGGAGAAGGCACGAAACCTCATCCACACATGCGAACCACCTGAGTCGCCGGCGACTCAGGACAGTCGTTGCGATGCTATAGAAACGGACGGACGGCGTTGCCGTCTCCTGCTATCGACCGAGGATCAGACATGGTGCAGTTGGCACCTCAGGGAGCAGAATGATTTGAGCACGCGCTGGGAAAAGCTTCAAATTGCAGCGGAAAAGATCGTGGTATCCGACGTACACATGGCCAAACAGAAAGTCCTCAAACTTCGTTTAGCTGTCGAACTACGTCGTCGTATTAGGGAGAGGTTTCATACCCGAGGAATCGACACCGTCGATTTCATTGAGTGGATCGCAAAACTGGAGAAAGAGGTCAGGACGTTGGCGAACATGATCCTCAGTACGTATTTCACCAGATTAGCGCTCCCACATATGATGCTGATCCCTTTAGTGTCGAACCTCAACCGCAAACTTCTACCAGATACACCAGGTGGACTCAAGGATAACAATCTCTCAGAACAGATCATGATACTACAGTCTCCACTGAAGCCTGCAATACCCATCGGATCTCTACAAGGAATAGATGACGGCACCATACTCGTCCTCAAACATTTCTCCACCGACCTATGCGCGGACGCTATTCGTCGCTTGTACCATATCTTGCCCGACTTACACTTTTCATCTCAGCTATCAGACTCGCCAGTACAAGACGATACTGTTGGAGACACTGGAGCCGAGATCGTGTGCGCCTGGTTCAGGATAATGATACTCAACGACAGCGAAGCCGATGCCCTAGAGCGCGCAACAAGGTGTAGAAGCATAGGCGAGTACCTATCCGGTTGTCAAGCGAGCCAACTGGAAACGTATTGCGACTTCTTCGAGAAAGCCTGGAGACCACACGCTGTGCAATATCTCCGGGTGGCGATCTGCGCACAAACGCTTGCTGGCGGCGACATCAAAACCGTTCGACTACTTAGTGGAGACGTGCCTAGCACTAGTGAAGGTCTTCGAATGACCAAGCCATGCTGGGATATACTGTCAGTAATACACAAAGTCTATTTGTCCTCTACTAACCTTACCTAGGCATCGCTGGTTCCCAACCTTGCTCACCCCTTGGACTGTCGCAAGCATATGTTCCAACTTCGAAGACTACACTACGCTCTGCAAGTTGCTCATGCTCGGGCTATATCGCGACAACTGGTACAACCCGTCGGGTATCTTGAGCGAGTGTGCGACTGGCATCTACTTCGGCTTCATCCCCACGAGTAAAGGAGAATTCAGCAAGGCAACCAAGACTATCGAGAAGGACCATGGTCTGGTACAGACTCAAGCACGGAATTACCTGTGCGGCCAAATGGCCATCGGCGATCCGATGACTCAATACTTCCTGGATGAGCTACGCAGGCGGACAGAGAGACTGTACCTAGTGGTCTACGAAGGCACCAACGTTGATGCTACGGTCCATCCCACGGAAGCTGACTTGTTCATAAAGCGCACGCGCTCCGTACAAGACCTTACGCAAGACCCTGAAGCAGACTGGACTACCACGATCACGCTGGAAGACATCAAGAACGACATTCGGTTACGCAAAACGTCCATGTACGACCCAATCGTCGTTGACTCGTGGCAGTTCATCATCATCGATCGCGAGGTTGGAATGCCATTCGATCTGATCGACATCGTTCAAGACACACTGCTTATGCTCGCTGGTGACCCTTCCCCTCGAAGGATAGCAAAACGAGTCGTGTCGGAAGTCATACCCCCATCCGTACAAGAGATGTTCATGGAAGAGATGTCCATTGAGTGCTCGGCTGACATGCGCTTCCCTGCACCGCCCGAAGTTCAGTACGAAGGTCATCGGTACCGCCACTACTCGCCGGACAGGAACGCTATACTTACGTACCAGAAGAGAACAGCAACTGAAATCCGTTCCCGGGATTCCAACCGCTTCATCCGAAGAGTCGTCGACGACATGGAACGTTGCGGTATCGTTAGCCTCGTTCAAGAGTACGAAGAGCCTCAAACCCGTCCCATCATCATGCAAGGCTCTGACGGCGCTCTTGATCTATACTTCCCTTACGACCACAGCGACAAGACCACCATGATACCCGAGCTTCCTCTACCCACCCCAAACTGCTTGCTTGACTTCGCCCGAGCCTTCAAACAGCAGAATCCCGATGGCATCATGGCGAAAGGCTCAATCCAGACGCACTACTGCGCATGGCCCATGCCTTTCATCAAGAGTCTCGGTAACATCGGACTAACTTTCGCTACCTGGGAAGGCCACATCTACCGCTGGAATGCGATGCGTAAGTCTTCGTCGCCATGGTACCTCCGTCCGGCCTCATTGCTAACCATACCGCAGCCTTCGATCGCCCTTGGTCCGCTAATGCTTGGCAATACTATATCCAACACTGCATTAACTCCAGATACCCTTTCGTAATGTTTTACCTCACCACTTTCGTTATTTGCGCAGCGGACCGGGCGGATGCAGAAGATCAGGCGGCAATGTTGTTGGAAGAGACTGAAGACCGTGGCTGGCGTGTCGTGCTTCCTCGTTCTAGCGAGTGGAAGTCGGATATCGACGAACTGAAATTGAACACGCTGTATGAGGGAGTCAAGCCGGCCTAGACTTGGCCGTTCATTCGTTTTGGGAAAGTTTTACTTGGGCCCTCTTTAATTGGGCAAGTAAATTCGGGTTGATGTTGGGTCTTACCTTTTTCTTGAGCGATTTAGCGAGTCCATGTACGTAATGATTCCGTATTGATACCAATGAAGTTTTTTCTCTTTCGATTCCCACGCATGTATGAGACGTGTGGAATTCGGGGGGTGTAGTTGGCTCCCCGCCCCTCGGACGTTGCAGTACCATGGAGTGGGGGTCATGAGATCAGAATAAGGGTACCGAGACGACCCCGTGAATGGTAATATCGGAACCCCAATTCGACTATGCGAACGGACTTGGCTGCCCTGGTCTTGGTGTGGGCTTGGATATTTAAACTCTCATTTTCCTCGCTTTCTACGAGTATAGATTTCTCACCAACTTTCGTTCTGCTAATAAGTGCTAGGGCGGGAAGAAACCAAGAAGTTCAGACAATCTCGTACATTGCCGCGGATAACATGGCATACCAGTAAGTTACTCCCGTGTTCTAGGTTTTGATGGCTAACATGTGGAAAGACCGTCAGATTCCTCAAATCCTTCAGATATGGAGATGTCTGATGTCCTCGATGACGAAACGACTGAGCGTCTATACGATGAGCATGACCACGAAATCGAAATGTTTGTGGAGGATGAGTCCGACAGGCCTCAGGAAGAGGCAGAGCCTGAGGACCTCGATAATGCAACGACTGAACGTCTATATGATGAGTATGACCACGAAAACGAAATGCATGTGAGGGATGCATACGACAGACCTCTGGAAGAGGAAGAGATGGAGTCTGATGACCTCGGTGACGAAACAATTGAAGCGATTGAGCGTGTATACGACGAGATTGACCACGAAAAGCTCATGAAGGACAAATACGACGGGCTTCTAGAAGAGGCGGAAGCTAGACAATACGAATACGACACCAAGTGCGTAGCAACATTGCGTTATGAATAAGTCTACTGTTAACGTTGCGCAGCTTGTCGTCAGAAATGGTAGACCTTCACAAGCAACGCGATGCCCTTGAAAGAGGATTGAGAATCATCACTCGTCGTCTGATGTTCCAGCGAATGCAAAGTCACCCCAGAGAACTTCGCGATATGGTCTATGAAAGAATATTCGAGGACTCATATATCAAGCTAGAGGCGGAGCAAAACGAAGAAGTCGATCCAACCCACCATCCATGGGGATGCTCGATCAAACCCAGAAGCTGCATCTCTTACGGCGATCGGATAGATTTCGAGCTCTACGCTGCCGACGCTGCTAACGATGCGATGAAGCTTGAGCTAGCTCAAGCATGGTACGAAGCGACGACTTTCTGGACTGCAGATCCCTGCACCATCGCTTCCTCCCTGTCCCGATTCAAATGGAGTGCTGGTCTAGAGAAGGCGCCACTCGACTTGATCAAACACGTCGAAATCTGGATTCCTGTTGAAAATCCCCGGGATACTGCTAAGGAGACGACTATCTTGGAGAGATTTGAGTCTCTGTTCCAGCTCAACAAGCAAACGACCATTACGATAGCTCTACAAGACCTCTGTTCATTCATGGTCTTCAACAGCACCGGTAACAGCACATACATTAATGGCCTGGAAAAGTACGCGGAGCGGGTAGAATATTTGCTTGAACCGTTGGCGCGCCTTAGAGGTGCGGGATACAAAGTCGTAGTTCGAGCAGAGCAGGGCTTGAACTTCGTGGTTGAGCCGGAGGAGACTAATCTGGGAGAGTGGACCAAGAAAATCCGTGCGGCTATCATCAAGGAGATTCCAAACCGATCCTGGGCTTCGCAGGCTGGGATGGAAGCCGTACGGGTTGTATAGCTCAAGTTATACAACTAATGATGTCAGGCGTTCGTTGCGAAGAGCATCTTCTTTAGGAGGTAGTCTGGATAGTTGAGTAGGAAAGTCTAGGCCAATTCAGAATGTAATATTCAGCACATATTCAACGTAGACCCTACTAAAAGCCAAACATGTGACACCGCGATCCACTAACCCCCCTCGCGTTAGCACCACAACCCCAACGCGTAACGACAGCAACCCCAGCATCCTCGTCTCGATATCAACAACATTCCCAGCCCTTTTCCTCGCTCTCTCTCATTCCACTAACCATCAATCTGTCGAGACACTAACCCACCAACCACACTACCCGTCATGTTCTCCGCCGCCGAAATCGCATCTTGCTCGCACAAGCTCCGCGCGTGAATGCATCACTGCATACATCTAGCCCACCTACTGATAAACGCCGCAGCATAACCCTGGCAAACCGTCAACACGTCCTCCGTTTCCAGGCCGAGCAACTCGTACTCCACATTACGTACAAAGACCAAATGGCCATCACGATCTCACCCCCGCGAGCTGCGCTTCGAGCTCGGCGCTATCGGAACGAACACCATAACCGGGGTGCGGAGAAGACAGAGGCGTTCATCACTGAAGCAAACGAGCTGTGCGTGTAAGAATGCATTGATGATGGGGTATCGAGCAAGTGATATATACATGAAGAGGTGAAGTCTATGAAATGAAGTGATGTGAAAAAGAATACAAGACCCCGTTCAGGGTAAAATGAACACCTGCCACCGAACCTTAGAGTCTACATTACCTTCGTGATGTCACGAATTTTCTTTTTAAGACCGATGTAGACTGCAGGGCATCTGTTCGGTTTTCTAAATAGAGTAGTGCGAAACATTGCTTAGTGACCGTCCTAACTCTGCTGACCCATACCTTCGTTCAGCGGCGGGGACCACTCGAATAAGTCTAGAAATGAGACCTCGTCTTCTTGACTGTGGACAAAGCTTGCATCAGACCTCGGAAGAGCCTGGTGATGATACCCGGACAATGATCCTTGCGCAGACGGAATATCCTGATGCATGTTGTAAGGTGATGCTGCGGAAGGTAGCGATGGTGAATAGAAAGAGAAAGGTGACGCTAGAGGGCTTTCATGGGTTGGATCCACTGAGCCGTGTATGGAGGTAGGTCCGGTGTATGGACATGTCGAAAGAAAGTACGATGAAGAGGCGGTGTCGAACGGTTGGTGGCTCGGCAAGGTAGTCAGGTTCGCCGACCCAACATTGCCGCTTACATTAGCTGGCGAAAGTGGATGCCCGAAACTATGGGCAGGGCGAAGAGGGTACAGATGCTGAGGCGATGGCCAGCCTTCCTGTCGGACGGCATTGTATGGCGCAAGATTCTGCTGGCCGAACTGGAAGGGCCAGATAGCTTGGTGGAGTGGTGCCGCTTCTACGGCTTGCTGGAGATCATTATGGAGTTGCTGAAAGTCTCGGTCCTCGCCTGCTGCAGGATCGTACGACTGGGATGGTATCGAAAGTCCATTTCCAGCGCCCCTGACATTGAAGAAGTCGCGTGTAAGCGAGCCCTCAGTTGGCACTTGCTGTGTGTCCGGTAGAGTATACGAGGCCTGGACTGGTTGTGTCATGGGTACATGCGTTCGAGGGGTCTGCGGTGCTGAGGCGAGGTTGTTTCGGACAGACCTCTTACCTGGTCGGCGACGGGGCGGGGGTCTGGCTTTGGCCTCGCGTAACGGAGTTGTAGCAGTGGGCGTCTTGTCCTTCTTTCTCTTGACGGGATCGGGATGTAGGCCCGGCTGGCACTTGCGCTCGTGCTTCAACAGGGCATCATTGCGGGCACATAAGACGTCACACTTTGTGCACCTCAGAGGGCTGTCGTGGTGTTGGGTCCGTATGTGTCGTGCGAGATTGTTTGTCCTGTCGCGCCCAGTGAATGGCACATTGCATTGTTTGCACCGAACCTGGTGAGAGGTCGATGATGGCGATGCAGGCGCGGAGGAAATGAGGTGCCCAGGTGCGTTTGTATCGACCAGCTGCTCACCATGTCGAGGATTGGCTGAGCCATCTGTGGGTTGCAGCGGTAGGCCGTTGGTAGAGTTCGCGTGCGCGTGTACGGTGGGAGGGATGCCGTTGGCTTGATGTCCGGAAGGCGGCGTGTCATCGAGCTGGTAGGGAGCTTAGTCATAGACGTGCAACGAAGCAGAGAATGGCTTACATGAATGCCATGCTGCGACAAAGGATTAGGAGGAGGTGCCGTGACACTATGCGACTCTACGCCAATGAGGTTGTATGCCGACTTGCCGGCGCCCATGAAAGAGCGCAAGGGACGGTCGAGGGGTTCATCATGGTTGGGGTATATCGGCGCCGACATGCTGAGATGTTGCCCTCCCTCTAGTCCTGTATGTGGTGGGACGAAAGGTGGGTGAACCACCCAAGGTGGTCAGCGGAGGGTGTGAAGGTATGTGCCGCGGTTTGGTCCAATGCGATTTGGTCGAGGCGCATCATCGGTGGGTGAAACAAACGTCCGAAGGAGGGCTGGGGCAGCAGACTTTATGCATGGGAAGGTGCTGCGAAGCCGTGAACGAAGAGCTTCCCAACGGCAGCCAATGTGGTGCGCCTCCAGCCCGCAAGTGTGTAATTGCTCCTTTGCTCGTCCTCCCACGCTGCATTATCGTCACAAGAAGGCTAGCCGGTGCCCCGTGCGGGGACTGATGTATGAGGGGAGAATTCGTAGGGCTAGCCTAGGGGAAGGATGCCGGAAGGATGCCGAGAGCGTTGGAGCTTAGATCGCGACCAGGATGGCCTCGTAGGGTGAAGCAATGAGGACGGCCTTTCTGAAGTCGCGCGTTGGTATCTCGTAGAGGGAGGGACGGGGCGAGTGCGCAGCCATGCAGGGAGCTTAGCAATTCAGCAACTGGGAAAAACGCGATTTGTACGTCACAGGGAATTGTCGTATGAGAACGTGGTGGTACCAAGAGCGTAAGCCACTCAGGCTAGTATACTTCAAGTCGAGGCGGTGCACAGCAAGGCAACCACCAAGCATGGAAGCATAGAAGCTTTTACGTCTCAGATCTCATTTCCGCTCGCCGCACTGTAGAGGCACGATAAATGCAGCAGGGAGTGGTGAGAGCATCCATAATGGTATGGACGCGTCTCCATCGCGAGCGCGGGAGTGCCTGGCGTCACCGCGAGCGGGGTGTGCAGTGCACAGACCGCGACGAAGGCACCTGTGGACCTATCGTGATCGCAAGCGGGAGGCGGAGCAGCGAAGGATAGTGGCAAATTTTCAGAATGCGCGCAGCTGTTTGGTGTTATGGGAAGCTCTTTGCGCCCAGGATGGGGGACTCTTACCAAAGCTTCTTGGGTGGTGTGGGTGGAGCGTGTAATCTCCATCAACTGCTGTCCTGCGCACGCCAGCCAACTTGGCGTCGTGGCTTCGCTCATGAAAATTTTCTGAGCATGAAACAATGCGCAAAGGTCGAGACGCGTCCTTCGTAAACATGCTGGCGAAGGACGGGTAATTCATCTTGTTCGACGGATGACGTCGGTGGGTGAGGGGTACCGACTCCGTGACGCTCGGAGGCGGCGCTTACGGCTATCTCAACAGTCTTCGGATAAGATCTTGGCTTCGTACGTGGCACGCTCAACGCAGTGTCAAAGCGTATCGCACGCTGCATGCAGTCAGCAACGTGAAACGGGTTCTGGCCAGAGTTCGTGCGATGTGATGGTGCATGGAGCTACAGCTTCCCCTTAGTTGCACTGTGACCTGTCAGGGCAAGGTACCACTTGACACCGCACATGTCGATCCCGTCGTTTCCACAAACGCCCGCCTGTCGGGCCCTCTCTAGTATTGCATCATATTTATCCTGGCCCTTGACGCCGATCGTGATCGACACAAGGCCCTCTGGCTGCCCTTGTCTCCCTGGTGTGAATCCCAGCCTGGCGTTCGTGAAAGCCAGCAGGTCGCGGCTTCGCACGACGCCAAATATCGCTTCCCACTCCCGTGCGGCCGCTTCGTGGCCAAGGTCGCCGGGCTGCAGGCGCAGTACACAGCCCTCTAGCGTAAGGTGTTCGGTCCGCTCCATGCCGGCCCTATAGCGGTCGACGTCTGAACCGCAGGCATGCCATGGGGAGAAGCGAGACTGAACTGGCGTTGGATTCTTCGGACCCGGTGCGTGGGAATCGAGTTCTGGCATCATACCGCCTATCACTTCATTAGCCGTATAACCTTGCAATTGTTAGGTGCCTAGCGTACCCTTGATGCCCTTTGGATGGTATTGAATGCACACCGAATCCGCGTAACTATGCTCAAAGATGACTTTCGACAGTCCCTTCGCTTCAATGTATTCGCGTCGCTTCTTCGCATCCTCGGTCTGCATGATGATCATATATCCGCCGTCGCCGCGCTTCTCGATCAAGCGTCCGGCAGTCGTCCCTGACTTAATGGGCGAGACTACCTCGATGAAGTCGCCGCCGATCGGTACTGTAGTCATGTCAGTCGCTGAGCTCAGAAAGAGAAGGGACCATAAACATACTGAGGAAGTTCTTCAACCCCCATTGCTCAACAGCTGGATCCTCGAAGACGACTTCTGTTCCTAGAACGTATGTCTGGCACCTCTATCAGTTCTCGAAATGTCTACCTTGACATCGACGGCCTACAAGCTGCTGCTTCGCGCGTTCGATATCCTCCGCGACAAGTGCGATCTGGCGTAGACGCGTTGGAGCCGGAGCAAGAGCCATGTTTGCTTGAAGATTTTTCCAAAGGAGCTATCCGATGGGCTAGAATTCAGTTGAAAGAGCGAGATGATGGATTCGGGACGCGTAATGCCTCATTGACGCTTACTCGAGCTCAGCGGCTCAGCAGCGAGTAGCTTGTTCCCCGCATCAGCAGCCGCGGCACTTCCTAATGCAAAAGCTACAACGTTAGTGTATTGGATTAGTAGAGCATCAATTGGGATCAATGAGAAGATTGATGACATCGCAGGTATCGACTGAGATACGTATCTGGAGCGGTATTGT